GTTGTTGTTGTTGTGATTGCTTGAGATTACTTGTATGTGTTTGTCTCTTTGTCTCCCAAATCTCCATTTTAGGGTTTGGACTCGATCTACGGTTTGGAGGCATTACAGCGTCAAGGGAGTGACCCAACATTTTCATCAAACCACTAGGAAGTGAGGTTGTAAGATTATTTATCCACAAAGTTAAATTTGGCACTGCTTTTGTAGTTCACGTAGGCGTCGGAACTGCTGACGTTTGCACCGGAACTTCTGACAACGTCGGGAGTTTTGACCCAAACGTCAGGACTTCCGACAGTGACTGACATATTTGAACTTAGCATTTGCAGTAAATTTTTAGATACGCCTATTCACCCTCCTCTAGGCATTGTTAGATCCTTTCAGGTGGCAACTCCATCACTGCATTCTATCGCAATGTACTCACAGTTACATGCGAGATTGAAGCCCTAAAGGAGCATCAACAGCGGCAGAGCATGAGGATTAAACAGTGGGGGGGGATTAATGTAGTGGAAAACTTTGCAGCTTTAGTCCGTTTTCTTACTATCCTGTGTTTTTTGAAATTAGTAGTTGCGTATAGCAAAGAAAATATTATCATTCTATCAAGTATATCAACCTTCCTTTCCACTTTAATTACAGGCTTGCTAGCGTCCAGACGTTCAGACGAACAGGATGTCTGGACGCCCACGTTTGCAGTCATTTTTTCGCATCATTTCACGTGTCCATGTGGGGCCCATGCCGCCCTGAACGTCACTGGCATCGAGAAGAGAAGGCAGAGGCGGTGGATGCCTAGCAGGCGCCGAGAGGAGGAGGGGACACCGAGGCGAGGCAGCAAAAGGCGAGGAGGGAGATGCAATACGCAATCTACTTTTGAAACATTCAAATGCAACACTTGCAACATACGTCTGAAGGCAGATGAAACACTTGAAACATGCATCTGAAACATTTGCAAAAACACCTGAAAACACTTAAAACCGTACCATTGGGAAAACATAAGCAACATCTAGATAAAACACTTGCAAACATATGTGTGAAACATATACAACATCCAGCTAAACACACTTGCAACATACATCTGAAAAAACAGATGAAACATTAGGAACAAAAGTTTGCAACATACGTGTACAACCATTGAAACAAATGCAACATCTCGATCTACTTTTGCAACACCGATATGAAACACTTGCAACATACCTCTAAAACACTTAAAACAGACGCTTGCAACATGCACTTTCAACTTCTTGCTGCGTGAAGTTCGATGCTATGGAGTGGCGCGAAGGTCGCTAGTGTGAAACTCGTCGGCGGCACAGACCTTGGCAGGGGCCGCGGCAGGCGTATGGAGCGCAGCCGCAACAGGAGACGTGAGTCAGGGTGGGGGCACGCGGCACGGGCGAGGGCGAGGGCGAGGGCAGGGTCCGTCCCACGAGCAGGAGCTACGTAGAGTGAGCGGGCGGGATCTGTTCCATGAGCGGGCGACGCGGGCGGGGTTCGTCCGTCCGTCCGGACGCCCTATCAGGTGTGTTATCGCTTTAATTAGCATATCTATGTTGTAGAATAACTACTACATGGTAAAGTGTTGGCAGAGAAGAGGGGGTGATGCCCAGTTTCGCCTATGAGGTGAGGATCAAGAAAGTGATCAAGCTCTTTTTTTTGGGAGGGCCAAGTAAGAAACGTTGCGACACTAGAATTATCAACTCACCATCTCGCACTAACTAAGTCGTTTTTTGTCACTTGTTTGTATTAATAACTTTTGAATCTTTCGCCGTCTGAGCCACTTCTAGGTTCGGGTACGCGTGTGACCACACTTACTCTCTTCCTAATGAAGTATGCATTCAGGCGTGTTCGCAAAATGCATTTGGCACTTAGACCACCCCTAACGCAACAGCGTGTACTGTAGCCTCATCCTCCGTGTCAGCATCTGGTATCCAAATCAACGTCGGAGCATACAGTTTGAAGCGCGTTGTGAGAGAAAAAATCGAGCAAGCAAATAAAAAACTCTGACAGCTTTCCGCCAAAAGTACAAACAATGGAACCATGAAAGGATAGGCACGGTATGCCTGCGTTGGGAGCACTGGCGGAGCTATGTTAAGGAGAAACTATGCCCCCCTGCCTCGGAGTAATTCTGCATGCATACATGCAAGCAAACTGGTTCCCGGCAATTGTTCTCATGCTAGACGTAGGTAGTTGGAGGCTTGGAGCTCATATTGTTATGCAGACATGGAACTTCCTTTCATACATGCGCCGTTGCTAGTCTATTTATAGGCTCATAAATCACAAATATACAAATACATATAGGTCACTGTGGGAATTAGCCCCCCCCCCCTCGTGTGTACGCCCGCTGGGGCTGCTCTAAGACTGACTCCAACAACGCGACGTAACCGCAAAATTGCGTCCGCCACAGTGCATTTGCGTTCTCAGAACCAGCTCCAACGGACGACGCAGAGCCGGCACGCATTTTGGGTGGGAGGAGAGAGGGGAGGCAAATTTGCCTTCTCCCAGACGCGCGACCCAAACCCGTGACCGGGCGTCGGCACGCCGGGGGAGCACGGGCTCCTCACCGTGCGGCTCTGACCGGAGCTCCGACGACGGGGAGGAGCTGGTCGAGGTCACGCTGGACCTTCTCGAGGGCGACGGGGCTCGACGCCGTCACCTCGCTCCTCGCTGACGGCCTCGGCAAGGTCGTCGCGGGCTGCTTCTCCCCCACGGTGACGGCGACTCCTTCGAGCCAGCGGCCGCGGCTGCTCCCACGGCCGGCAAGGCGGAGCGCGGCCGGTGCGGCGTGGCGAGACGGATTCGGCCCCCACCGTCCGCTGCGCACCTCGCTCGCCTGCCTAGGAGGGGTCCCGCACCGCCGGAGGGAGGAGATAGAGGGAGAGGAGAGGGAGAAGAGAGGGAGGCCGAAGGCAGCGGCACGCCGGCACGGAGGAGGACGCGGCCGGGCCGAAGGCAGCGCACGGAGGAGGACGCGACCACCGGATCTTTTGCGTTGTCTGTTGGAAAGGGTGATGTTTTGGGTCCTAACCCATTAACTGTGCGCGACGCAAAGGATGAAATGCCTTTCGTTTTTAGGTCCCCACGTTTGGAGACAGTCTAAGTATCGATGAAGGCTTCAAGCAGTATATATACCTGAGCAGATGCCACGGGCGCTGGCGCCGGCATGGTTCACGGGGTTGACCATGGAGCCGGCGGGGTTGACCAGGTCGGCCACGACGTTGCAATCCCTGCCGACTTGGGCTCGTCGGCTCGTATCTGGAAGGGGTTAGGCCACGCGTCGGCCATCCAGGTGATGTCGGGTCCATGATGTCCGATCCGAGTCCGCAATCACGAGTTGAGCCGGATTCGGTGTCCCGTTTCGCGGCAGCCTCAGGCTCAGCCTATATATCCCATGAAGTAGAGGAACAACGCGTGCGTGCACGAGACGCAAAGATGTCCAGCTCCAACTCCAGGCGGCGGGGGCACGACCAGTACAGCGACGATGCAGCGGCCAAGAGACCACGGCGGGGGCAGCAAAAAAAGCACATCTACCTCGTCATAGAAGATTGGGAGATGGGGTACAGCATCCACAAGCTGGACATCGACGACTTGGACTCTGACGCCCGCGCCGCCGCCGTCAGCAACCAGCAGCTGGGGCGCCTCCCCGAGCCCTGCGCCATCCGCATCGAGGCTCCGGTGGACCGGTACCCTGCAAGTGTGACGGCAATCGGCCGCAAAATCTTATTCGTGACCGGCCGGTACAGCGACGAGGCACCGATCCTCATCTACGACACGGAGACGGCGTCGATGGCCATCGGGCCTCGCCCCACGCCCGCGCTGCGCCCCCTCGGGCACATACTCTTCGTGCCCGTGGACGAGCGGTGGCTTTACGCGCTCAACCCGCGCCGTGAAGATCGTCTGCAGTGCTCCTTCGAGGTGATCTCACGGGGGCCTCGCGACGAGGAGGACGAGTTCCGGCTGTCCTGGCGCGCCGAACGGTGGTCGGTGGAAAGCGTCCCCGCGCCGATGCCTTTGGGCTACCGCGATGTCGTCAGAGCCTACGCCGTGCACCCGGACGGGCGCACCATCTTCGTGTCTGCAAAAGAACTGTGGTCGAGGGAGGGAGAGGGATGTACCACCCACTCCTTCGACACCCGGAGTTCGGTGTGGACGCGGCACGGCGAGTGGCAGCTGCCTTTCCATGGCCAGGGCTACTACGTCGACGAGGTGGACGCGTGGGTGGGGCTTCGCAGGGATGGGTTCCTTTGCTCCTGTGCCATCCCTTCCCGCCGTCGAACAGCCGAGCGGCCGCCGGACTCGAAGCTCGGGAGGAAGACGCTGTTTCGCGAGAATCCCAAGAGACATGTGGGGCAGACTACAGGTGCCACGCTCACGTACATGGGCGACGCCAGGTTCTGCCTTGTCGAGTGCGCGGCCCGGCAAGGCGTCAGATGGCGGGACGCCTCGGACGGTGAAGTCGACGGCTGTGTCCTACATGTCACCGTATTCGGCGTCAAGTATGACAAGAGGGGCGACCTACAAACTACGGATCACCATGGACGTTCGTACCTTGTCTCTAGGTATGGCCCCGAGTTTGCAGCGCAGACGTTCTGGATGTAAAAGTTACTACTTGATTTACACTGCTTGAGAAGTAAACAGATACCGAAACATCCATGGTTTCAACTCAAGCAGCATATATCACCGTCTCTTTCTATTTTTCTTGTACTATGGATCAAGGATTTCATTTACGTAACCCAGTTGCATTTCGGTAGTCGATTTCAATTCTATATATCGTCGTTTTCACTTGTTAGCAGTTAGAGCATCTCAAGAGTTCTCTAAACATTCTTCTAATCCTTATTTTTTAGGAAGATAGAAAAAAACTCATCTTCAACGACTCCTAATATTTACTCCTAATCTTTTGGGACTTGAGAAATTCCTTCGACTTCCGCGTAACTTTACGCGGACGAAGCCGTTCCCACGGAGTCGTTCTTCCCGCCGGCCTCTGATAGGGAAACGCGCCAATCTCCCCCTCGATCCTATCCCTGATGTCGACGAGCAGGCAGCGAAGCCTGGCCACCTCGGCCTCGAGCTAGCGCGGCGTGGCTCTGGAGCTTCTTCATGAGCTGCTGGTTGAGCGCCCGGAGGTGGACCACCTCCTCCTCCAGCGACGCGGTGTGGGCCTTCTTCTTCTCACCGTACTTCCTGACGGCGGCGCGGTTCCCCGAGGGCGCTTCTTGGAGGCGGCGTTGCTGTTGCCGGTAGGCGCGCGCTGAAGAGCAGCGTCTCGCGCACGGTGAGCAGCGGGAAGAGTACGTCCTGTTGGGTGACGTAGCCGGAGACACGGCGGAGGTCGGCGCTGTGGGCGGCGGCGCCGTCGAGGAGGAGGTCGTGCTGCGGGGACGGGGAGAGGCGGCCAGCGAGGATCTCGAGCAGGGTGGACTTGCCGGCGCCGCTGGGGCCAACGATGGCGAGTAGCTCACCGGGGCGCACGCGGCAGGAGACGTCCCTGAGCACATGGCGGACGCTGTGGTGGTCCTGGTGGTCTTGGACATGGACGTCGTCGTCTGACCTGCTCTAGACCTTGAGAGGAGGGTGTGGTCGGCTGGAGACGGTGATGCGGTAGTTGATGCCGCTGGCTTGGATCTCGCAGCCGCCGGCGAAGGAATTCTTCGGCATTGCTCGCTGCTGCGGATGATGACGGTATGTAATACGGTGGTTGTGTTCCTCGATCCTTAATTGACGCTGATGATGAGCTAGGCGGCGGCTGCTTTACTTTAAACTGGGCGTGGCATGGCTTGCGCTCGGTATGTGCATGCGTCTCAGCTAGAGAAGCTAGCAATGGCGGGTGGTGAGCTTGGAGACTGGAGAGTGAGCGTGTGGTGTGGCTCCCCATCCGTGGAGTGGAAGGAAGGAGCTGAGCTGAGCTAGGACACTACATTATATAGGAGCACATACATACACACTTATACATACAGTAGGAGCAATACGAGTAATTCTTCTTATGTATATAAGTACTGTATACATATATACTCCAGCAGTTGCAGATCGATTCTTCTTTGTCTTGATTAAGATTGGCTGGCAGCGGCTGGGGGCGAGCAAGTAGTAGTAGCTAGCAACCCAATGTAAGCATGATCGATTATCTCTCGTCAAATGTGGCTAGCACTTGATTTTTTAAAGTTAAATATTATGAACTATTGGAGATAAATTTCTTTTTTTCTCCTAAAATATTTTTAGGAGTTGATAAACATAGACTTTTTAGGAGGAATATTTAGGAAACTCTGGGAGATGCTCTTAGTTCTTAGTAATGGCCTAAACAAAGATGACTTTGAACATTTTTACGATAATTAGGGCAGTGCTACTAGGAGCCAGGACCGAGGAGGTAATTGCTCAAATAAATCTGGATCATTGATTTTTTTAGATTTTATAAATTAATTAAATAAACTAGTAACCTAAGGAAAGGAGGGGAAAATCCATCGAGCCCCGTAGTCACGCAAGAAATGGATCTGCACTTCCTTTCTCTGTATGCACAGGGAGAATGGACCCGCGATCCCATCGACGCATGGTACGCAAGCGGCGGATGATGGGGGTGTTGGCCAACATCAATTCCTTTTATTTTGATAATACACGGTTGATTTTACAAATCTTTTTGAAACACGGTTTATTTTACAAATTGACACAGATTACCAAAACATTATACAGTCTTATATTCAAGCTTAATTTTTTATTGTCCACTTCCTATTGAAAGCGTGACAGCTAATGCAATGAAGATCTCTAGAAGAACCAACAGTGATTTCGATGCATGTAACAATTCCTACGTATTAGTGTGACACCACCAAATTCCAAAATCCCAAAATAAAAAGATTTGCCACATCCAACAAATCAGATACCCATCAATTAGATCTAGAGCAAAGTTTTTTTAATCTAGAACTTTCCTTATTTATCCTATTTTAACAAATAATAAATTAAATAAATTTATATTTTGAGGTAATAAGTGATTATAATCAATCCGATATAGTTAAATGGACAGCTCAGAGTTATTTGGGAGTATTACAGCAAAGCCCCGATTGTTAATCATAATTCATAATCAATTGTACATTGTCAGGAAGATCATCTTGGCATATGAGAAGAAGACAACATTTCAGCCTCCATGCTGCATTGTGTGCTTACTTCTGATGACTGCAAACTGGGAATTGGTCTGGGCTCACGTAGATGTTTCTCTTCCTGTTCACTATTTCCCCCTGCCCATTCATCTTTTCTTGTGGCAGTCTGGTCTATGGTGAATGACCTTCTTAGACCATGTAAAACTGAAGCCACCACCACCATGGCAGGCCGTTCTTCTCCCTTCACGTTTAAGCACCGTACTGAAAGCTCTGCAACGGCATAACATTGGTCTTCGCCTGCTTCGGCCAAAATGTGCGGCTCTATCTCCTGAAGTAAGCGCCGTTCATTAAATAGAACCACCAGATGCATAGCCAAGTTACATGATTCTTCCGGCCTTGCTGCAGAAATAGGTTTCTGCCTGGTCAATAGTTCTGCAAGAACAACTCCGAAACTGTAAACGTCACTCTTCTCAGTTAGCTGACTGGTTTGGAAATATTCAGGATCAAGGTACCCAATAGTCCCCTGAATAAGAGTAGTTATATGAGTTTGATCAAATGGGACTGATCTTGATGCACCAAAGTCTGCTATTTTAGCCACGAAGTTCTCATCCAGCAGAATGTTGCTTGATTTGATGTCTCTGTGTATGATTGGTGCAGAAGATGTGGAGTGCAGATAGGCAAGTGCATCTGCAGTTTCTGCAGCTATCCTTAAGCAGTCTTCCCATGTTAGAGGGCGAGGTGCATTTCTGTTGTGGATGTGCTGGAAGAGTGTTCCATTAGGTATGAACTCATAAACCAACAATGGTACCTGTGTCTCTAGACAGCATCCCAAAAGCTTGACAACATTTGGGTGATCAATCTGTGACAAGATGGCAATCTCATTGACAAATTGCTCCACTTGGCACTCATCGAACACCTTGGACTTCTTTATGGCGACTATAGTTTGATCTGCAAGAATGCCCTTATACACTGTGCCATGTCCACCTCGGCCAAGGATTCGACTCTCGCTGTAGTTGTCAGTAGCAGCCTTTAGCTCTTCTGCACTAAATATCTTTGCTGATTGGTCCTCTCCTTGAGACGTGATTGTTGAAAATCTCTGCTGCAGTAGTAAGCCACCATTCTTCCTGAACAATTCTGCTCTGTTTCTTCCTAGCTCTCTTTTCTTTATCGCCCAGCAGTAGAACGACACAGCGGTGGTCACTGTAACCATAAGTGCAAGACCTACACCTGCGCAGATGTTGGAGAACACTTGTAACGTAAGTCTACTGTCCAATTGGCTCTCATGTGGGAGTAACACTACTGAGACCAATACAAATAGGACTGAATGACAGATGACTGTTGAATTTATTATTTTGCTGCAGATTGTGCATGATACAAGATTGACTGGCCCCATGTAGCAACATTGAGGTAATCTTTAGGACTAATGTAAACTATAATTTCTCTCTTTATCATTACCAAAGGCATGTTTAATCTTTTTTAAAATGACGTGTTTAATCTACTTTACTTCCTTTTTTATTCATAAACCATAATGCTAGCTTACATAAGATGGAGCCTTACTTATGGAGTCTGTTGATTAATATGCATTGACGTAATGTGGTAAGCATATGATATATATTATAAATGTATTGAGGAAGTTACCCAAAACTGTGTCTAGAGGAAAGTGCTTTTGAGAGCCCGAATAGCAGCCACTACCCTTTTTCTGGCCATCACCACTCATCCCTTCAGGGCAGCCGGTACCTGATAAATAGCCAAGGATCATCAACGACATCTCTTTGAAGAGATTTCTTTTCACAATAGAAAAAATCATGGCACTAAAGAACCAGTAAAGGGTGATAAAGTCATGATGAACTAATGGACTCGTACACTCGTTGCAATGAACAAGTTATATGGTACCTTGCGGTTGGTGCGTAGGGGAATCTGCAGCACAAAAGAACGTTAATTGTTAGTCAGTAGGTATTAAATGTCTAAATGTATTCAAGAAATATATATAGGCATATTACTCAGGATTCAAGCAAGTATTTCTTACATGGGAGGCAATTGTTGAATGCAAGTGACTGGGAATAACCAAAAGACAATGATTCGGTCAGTTGTAGAATGATTTAGAAGCTAACCTTGTTTCTTTAATATCCCATAAATCTTTTTGGCATGTTGCATTGAGAAATTATGTTATAGTGTACTGGGTCTAAGGGTTTATGTTTCATTTTTTTCTTTGAAAAAAATATAAAACAATAGGGATTAAAGATTTCTACATATGCTAAATTGCATTCAGAAAGTATGTTACAATGTACAATTGGCTACAATAAGCATAGGTAGCTAAAATCACTATTCCTCTGTCCACAGATATAAGAACTTCTAGAGTCTTTAAGGCGTTAAAAATAGATAGAATAGGCGCATGTACGGATGTGCCATCAGAAGTGGGCTACGGTTTTTTGCGTTAGTTGAATAGTTACGGCCCTATTGTTCAGTAACCCCTGGTTTTAAATGGCAAGTCACCACCTAAAAGAAAATATATTGAATAGTTGTTGAATTAAATTGATGCTTGGAGATTCGGTACCAAAATCCTTATATTTATGAATAACTCTAAAAAAAAGTCCTTATGATACAATGGAGAAGGTTATGTTGAAATATTACGTTCAGATAACAAAATTCTAAAATTACTATTCTACTATTACTAATTGAAGGCCTCTAACAGAGTCTCTGTATTAATTCTCATGAGACGTGCTAAAAAAACAATATTCTAAAATTACTATTCTATTATTACTAATTGAAGGCCTTCAACAGAACCTTTTACGGGACGTGCTAGAAAAAAGCAAGCCCTAAAAATTCTCACAAAAATAAAAAAGATCTAACCATTGATCCAGTAGAATTTAATTACTACCAATAATAGTAGGCACAATCCATTCAATTTTCTTAAAAAAACTTACATAGCAACTTCTAATGTGGAAAATGTCTAAATAACCATAAAATATAATTATATATGTTTATAAATCACATACTTTTGTAGCTATTAATACATAAAAACAATTTAAGGTAATCATAAATGATGTGCATACAATTTAACTTAAACATTATAATATATGTTTCTAAATTGTAAGCACTATATTTTATAGAAAATACTATTGCACATATGATTCTTTGGTATAGAAATTAATATCATGAACATTAGAGGAGGTTAGTGCAGACAAAAAGTGTCTATGACCTTCCTTACTTTTTTATATGCCTTTTGAGTAAACAATAGTTATTAGATATAAATATTAATATTCTCTTGAGGTTAGTAGCATTGGCCCCTCCTACATTTTCTTTGAAGTTATATTGATGATTTTGAGTGCCTCAGTGCAAGCTTAAAGGACCTTTTTTTTTGCTATCATGGTAACTAAGAGCGCAATCTAAGGTCTAAAATTATTATTTCTAATAAAATAATGAAGTAGAGTTTTTATAAAAGGTACCATAAGCAAAAGACTTATATATTATTGATTAATTTTTTGATGATAAAAGTTGTACTAACTAATGAGATTAAAATTTGAAAATCAATAACGTCATGACTCAATAGACTTGAGTTTGTTAGAGTCCGCAGCGGATCCGGCCCAGCTCACTATACCCACGAGCCGGCATCCACCAGTGCCCACAACATACTAAAACCTTAGGCCTAACTCAGCCCAAAAACCTGATAGGTGAGGGCTGCCCCCGCCTTATATGTTGTGCTCCCGGACCATCAATTATTAATGTGAGACTAAACCTAACAATCTCCCCGTCACACATCGGATTCAACGCTTCACATCGCACAACCCCGTGTGATCTCCGGAAGACCTCCGAAAGACATTCTCCAGGCCCTGAGTCCAACGCTTCATATCACACATAACCCCTGTGACCTCTATATCACACACAACCCTTTGACCTCCGAGAGGTTAACAAGCTCCCCTGTCACCATGTGACTCCAGAGATTTTCAGGTTTTCTGACTATGAGTTCTGATATCACTTATTAGAGTGCGCAACGGATGTGGCCCAGCTCGCTATACCCACGAGCCGGCACCCCTTAGACCCAGGTCCACCAGAGCCCACAACATACCAAGACCTTGGAGCCTAACTCAACCCGAAAGACTAGCATGATAGGTAAGGGCTGCCTCCGCCTTATATGTTTCGCTTCTCCACCATCAATTACAGATGTTGGACTGAACCTAATAGAGTTGCGCTGCGGTAAGAGCTATTGTAAGCTAAAATTTTAACTAAATGTATATTGAAATACATGGAGGTGTCAGGTAGAAAAAGAGAACATATAGATATGGATGAAAAAAAATACAAAGTACTTGATAAGTTTATCACTGTCAGATAGAGGCCCTTTATATAGAGAGAGATTGTATTAGAAAAATAAACAAAAAAGAGAGCAATGTTTTAAACACAAACTTGTAATGATTTGCTCCTGTTCGCTTGGCTGATAAGAGATTATAGTACGCTAAATTGATAAAAGTTCCAAACGTAGGGCATTATTACCAGGTGTCACAAGAGCGGAGTTGCAGCCTGTTCCTGTCCTGTAACCGTCACCAGTATTGTTCTTGGGGCAAGAACAGGTATAGTTTCCCAAAGTATTGTTGCAGAGGTTCTGATAGGTGCAGTTGTTACTATTGGAGTTCCGGCATTCGTTGATGTCTTGACAAACAGAACAAAACAACACACTTCGTGTTCAGAAAGCAAGGTGAAACTATTTGTATCCATAACAGACTATAAAATTGTATGTTACAAATGAAAACCCTTCCATGAACCAGCATGAAAGAATAATACCAGACACCATTCAGGGCTCAAACTAATTGGTTGGTGTGGCAGGCGTGAACAAGCATTCCAATGATATGTTTTGAATTCTCTTCAACTTTAATTGAGGTGATTTCTTCCTTCTTAATAAAACCGTTTAGCTCCTCATAAGTAGATTATTATCGTCTTATCTCAAAATCTGCCGGTCCAGTTTCAATCTTTTAGAGGTACTTATATGGATAGGATGTGTATACGTGCATTTATAGGGTTGAGTAAATGTGTATGTATGAATGTCTATGTCTCTACCATGTATAAAAAAAACTATGTGTGCTTCCATATGAAATCATAGTCGAACGGTTAGGAACTTACTCTCTCCGTCCTGAAATATAATGCATTATAGCTATTTTCGGACAAAATATGGAGAGTGCAATAGATGCATATATCCCACACTTAACTTCCTAGTCTATACAAATCTGATTCTATTCTCCATAATTAAAGGATGGACTCTCAGTTTTCTCATAAAAAATATGGCAAGTACTGAGTCATGTATTTCAATTTATTAGTGAAATATTATCTTTTTGTTCCCTGAGAAACTCTTTTCTGTTTTTCCTACTTTTGAGAAACATAAGAAACTTCTTGCGACCGTTTTGGACGGATGAAGAAGAAACCTTAATTTACCTTGGCATCCGTCACTGACGTACGGATTTCCGTCGTACCCGTCAGGGCATTTGCAGAGATAGCCCGCTCCACTGGGCGCGTCGACGCAGGTGCCGTACCCGTACTTGCACAGTGGCTCGAATTTGTAGCTCTGAGCTTGGTCGCAGGTGGTGCTCCCAAACGCCCAATCCAAAATCATCCTGCGCTCACGTTGCGGCGACAAGGCCTTTTTTAGCGGCCGTACCTCGTCGCCACTGAAATTGAAGACTGCCTCGTCTTTGTCCAGGAAGAACGCCGCGCTGCAGGTACCGTCCTCCTCGCCGTCGTCGGTGTCGTTCGCCGTGGTCCTTTCGAACGATAGGCTGAACACCTTGGCGCCGTTCATCTGGTCCATGGAGGCCTCGCAGCAGGCTTCCCCATGGCAAGAGCCGCTGATGCTGGAGGTGGTGCACGTGGTGGTGCAGCTGGTGTATGGCGGGTTGGGATCACCGGGCAGGTTGAGGAAGTTAGCCATGAGCGTGCGGTTGCAGCCGAAGTTGACCAGCTTGTTTCTCTGGGAGAAAGTGAACGGCGTCCCTTCCAAGCTCCAAGTTAACGCCGTCCCGTCCAAGCTCTTTGCCCCGGGCGTCGGCTTGCCCTTGCCGTCGTAACACACCTGTGTGATGGGCTCCGCGAAGATGACCACGTAGCTGCCCGGCACCGACACGGAATCGATTCTGTACTCATGCTCGCCGATGGACAGCATGGCCTCCCTGTTTGGCCCGCATATCACCCCGAAGCCGCCAGGCAGAGACGACGCGTTTCTACGACGCATATCACTCCTTACG